GCAATAATTTTGTCCCTTGCTACTTAAAATGTAATCGAAAAGGAAGAATATGATTCGTTCGTATATTATTGTCTCAATCGCATATCTTTATTTAAAAAAAATACCACAGTAATATCAAATTCTAATTGTCACCGACATGTACGATAAAATACTTATTACTACAATTTTTATTTAAGCTTAATTTTTTAATATTTTGAGGTCTTTTCATTCCCTTATTTGAATATGTCTTATTTACTTGCATATAGAAAAACGTATCCTAAAAATAAAACTCTTGATCGATAGTATGTGTTTTAGAGTGATTTTTCCTGGGACATGACTATAGTACACACACACACACACACACATACACACACACACACACACACACACACATATCCGTAAGAAGAAAATTAAAATTGCATTATTGCGTTATCCGTCAAAGTTTCAAACAGCTCTCTCGATTAGCTCGACGATCAGAATTATCTTTAGCGATTGTTCACATTTGTTTGTTGCCGATGAAAACGTTCATAAATAAAACATTACGTAAAACAGCATCGGCATCTGCACGTCGATACTGTTCGTTCACGTATTTAAGTTCTAGAAACCGATACGACGTGTTAAGAGCTATGACCAGGTGTACTATACGCAATTTCGAAGAGGTAAGGATGGGTTAATGTGAAAAGCTATTCTTGAACGAAAAACTCTAGCATCGCGGAACTTTTATGGACGAGCGAGAAAAGGTAGAGAAAATGGGAAGGGAGGAACGCGAAGGAAGGAAGTGAAAAACTACTCGGTTCATCATTTTGGTAGATTTAATGAAACGATATACAGAATACATTTGCTTTCTTAATGCATCGCAACGCATTCTCGTGTGCCTTACCACTATATCACATATCAGTTTTTTTTTATTTGTAAAATATAATCGTCATAATTTCTTTGTTCTCGTATTTTGCCTTTGAACTGCCTCTTCGTCGTATATATCGAAAGTATACACATATAAATATATATATATATATATATATATATATATATATATATATATATATATAAAGGGAATAGCGTCTTTTCGAAATGTAGACAGAAACTTGAGAGAATTTGGTAATTGTAATTAAAAAAAATTGAAAATAAAAATTTACGATTTTTGAACATAAAAGTGGCTATAACTCGGAAACGGCTCATTTCCGGACCTATGTTTGTATGAACTTTTTTGCTTGTTTTTGGGTCTCGAATCACCTCCCGAAGTGGAGTAGGCGATTTTTCGGTCACCCTGTATTATACAAATATAAATACAGAATAACAAATCAAGAAAAGTATGAATCATTCTTCAGGTAACACCTCTGGTTATCGGCGTTATGACGCCTATTACATATACGAAAGGACGAAATAATTTCCAAAGCCTTTTTGTCCTCCTGGTCGATATTCCTAATAGGACGAATGTTCGAAAGACTCCCGTCATCTTCAAATTCTTCTTGACGCCGAGGAGTTATGTTTAATTTTTTCATCAATACCCGTATCAAGTATTGGAAATCATCCCCATCAGGAGGAAGGGGCTTAACATAGACTTTTCGCGATGGACGACCTCCTTCCGGTGATATGAAAACCGGCTCATACACATTCAACCAGAATTTTATCCCTTGAAGTGCTACTTCATCAATGTCGGATTTCATCGCTTCTATAGTAATCTGTAATAAAAATTCCACTAGTAATTTTTGACATGCGCTATATTTAATATTTTAGCAGGACAATTAAAGTAACAGTAAATGATACTTACAGGAAACAGTGCTGGAGACATATATGGTTCCATGTATAGAAAGAACTCGGCGCGAGACGCTACCGTGTCTCTTGATAGTGACATAATTTTCACAAGACACTGTAACGCAGCTACTCTGATTTCAGTATTTGTAGATTGAGTGTCTTTAAACACAACTTCCATAAAGAAGTTTCGTTCCGTCTATACATAGGGTTAAAACATATAATGTCACAACATTAGTTACTTGTTGCACAAATCATATCGCAATCGTACATGAAAGTGATATATTCGCGTCAATGTTACAAACACTAACCTCTATCTCAAAGTTTCCTTTAAATAATTCCATGGAATTATACAGGACTTTTAAAGCCGCTAGTCGAACGTGTTGTGACGTGCTATAAATATCGTAAATGATTTCTTGCCAGATATATCCGATAGTCTCTAGAGTAGCTTCCTTCATCATCTCGGTACTGGTCGCGTTGACAACATTATTGACTAACAATGGAATTAATTCGCTCCATTGCCCCACTGCCAACTCGGCAACAGCAACATAAGCGACGCATTGTGCTGCGGAACTTGGCCTATTGTTTTCCGTTCCCAACGCTCCTAAAATCTATAAAAATAAATGCATGAAGAACCCTATCATGTGTGAAAAAGAATAATTACCGAATATACTTAGCATGTCCTTAAATCCATTTCTCGACAATGATAAATTTTTATAACAATTATTATTAAGTATTTAAAATTTCCATTTTAAAATTTTACTTTTTGAGAGTTAAACTGTTATAAAAATCTATATTAAAAAATATTTTTAACAGATAAAGTAAGATACATAAAGATAAAATGTAGAATAAAAGTTAAGATAAAAATGAGTGAAGATAAAAGAGATAAAGTAAAAATATTTCTGCTTTGTATCCACTTCGAGTAATATACATTTGGAAAAGTAAAAACACAACAGTGGTGTAAGTCAAATTTTTTTAAATATTTTCTCGTATGCATAGATGTAATCTTTACAATATATAAATTGCATCTATGCACACGAGAAAATATTTCAAAAAATTTGACTTACACCACTGTGGTTCTTATTCTTCCATTTGTAACAAAGGAATGTCGTCTCTACGTAAAATCAGGTAAGGTCCGTTCTTTTTAGCTGAGTTTTTTGCACGGTTAATTTTTTCTCTTTTTCCCTCCAACATAAAAAAAAAGAGAAAAGATGCACCACGCAAGAAGTTCAGCTAAAAAGAACAGGCTTACAAATTGAAATGCTAATAATACAAGAAAATGCGATAAATATATAACCCTCCTTACATTTTTCTTGATATATTCCCTCGTTTCAACAGGAATGGTGAGCCAGCGTTGCTGGTACTGGAACTTCATGTCAGGATCCTTGGAGGTAAGTTGGTTTTTGAGCTGTAAACCCGCTGCCATGCGGGCGACGGGGCTCGCGCCGACTGTGACCAGCACGGCGCTGAGTCGTTGCACGAATTCATGCTAAAACAGACATACCACCGAATATTGCAATCGAATATCGCTCCTCACACTACTGTCGCAAAATCCCATGGTGGCAAAATTTACTCACGAGATTTGTTTCGGCCGCCTGCTGCAGGAAAGTCTGTGCTGCCACGAGCTCATTCTTGTCTGAAAATGCGACAGGGACATGTTACAATCGCGCGTCCACAATCAATATTAAAGAAATATCGTTACCGCGCCGGGAATCGCGGAAAAACCGTAAGGTTAGACGAGCGCGAGACGCCTCGCGATGCGTGTCGCGCCAATGCGTGCGAATACGAGGCAACCGTCACACGGGACAATACTTTTCCGGCGGCGAACAAAGCGCCTAGCAACAGCACGACGGGGCGCGATATCGCGCGTAACAGCGTGCGCGAAATGACTCGCGGTCCCGTCCGCGAAACGACGACGGACGGACCCGCCGCCGGATGAGCCGAGGGCGGCGAACCGCCCGCGAGCCGAGCACGTTGCGACAAATTCGCCGAGAACGGCGACGCGCACGCGGTTCGCTCTCGCGTGCTCCGAGATCGCCATCACCGCGGCCGCCGCCGCCACGACCCGACCATCGGAGCAGCCGTCGCGACGAAACGTCGCGTTTCGCGTTTCGACAAAAGGACGCTCGGATGGAGGAAAGCCGCCGGTCCTTGTGACGTCGCCGCGACGGCGGCGGCGGCGGCGGCGGCGGCGGCGCGACTCCAACGAGAGACGACAGACTCACCCGACGAGACGGTCCTCTCGAGGACCTGGATCAGCTGCAACGTCGTCGGGTCCATCTGCATGGCTAACGGCGGATCGCTCACTCTCTCGTTTACGGCGTGATACGTCACAGTTCCCGCGACTCGACGCGAGGGGATGTTAAACGTCTGCTCCCTGATGCGAAAGTTCTCGTCACGACCGGCGGATATCCACATGTAGCCACCACCGACTCAACTGCCTTCGACGTTCCCCCCACCTTGCCGTCCACTTCCTGTGCCTGGCGCGGCGCGCGGCTGGCGGCAGTGGCGGCCCCCGATGCCCGATCCTCGTCCCGTCTCCCGTCTCCCTCGCTCCGCCGTGAACAACGGGCCGATTTATCGCTCTCTCTCTCCCTCGCTTTTTCTCTCTATGTGCTCCGCGTAGTTCGCGTTCTCTTCACACACAACGTGCGGCGCAGGGATACCCGGCAGCCTTTGATATTCTCGCGCCCGCTAAGGATGAATCGCGGGCACGCCGACGCACGAAAAATACAGCCAGCCGCCGACGAGCGAAGCGAAATCGACACGACGATCGTCCATGGACGCGAAACCACCGTCGCGTCCCTCCACCGCGATCGTATCGTGTTTTTCCGCGAGGCGAACTACTTTTTCATCGCGCGCGATGCGTACATCGCGCATGCGTTTGCCGCTGCGCGCGCGCCACCTGGCAGTTGGCATTGCTGCGAGCAATCGCATTGGTCGCGCGTCTATTACGCAAGATTGACTCCTGTTGGTGGGTCTTTTGACGTTGTGGAAGATTTCAAATAAATGCTTCGCGCGTGCACCGACTTTTCTTTATTGTAAGTACGTCGCTTGATTTACGGACGTTCGCTAGGATCTCTGTCTATAAACTTTTGCTTTGTATATACAGAAACGTTGCAACAATCCGCTCATAAAAGGTTAAATAAGGAACACTTGGAAATAGATTCGACGTTGCAATGGTATATTTGATATATATCTGTTTCGAAACGTCCAGCAGGAGAAAAATTGTCAAGTCATTTATTTCTTACTTAATTGACACAGGTATTTATTATAAATCTCCCCTCCCATTTCTTTTCTTCTCCAATTCATAGTCTCTAAAAGTGATATTTTGTCTCTCGCTAAAATTTTGACATACTACAATACATTCAAATCAATTTTATAAAAAATTGCAAAAAATGTTACAAAAGTTGTATCTCACTGCAAAATTGAAATATTGTATGCATTTTTTATTGCAGGGTTACGGCAACATTAAAAAGTACACCTTTGAAAAGATTTTAACGTAACATCAACGACCTACGACCTACTTAATGTTGTTGTGTGCATGTTTCATTATTAGTGGGTATTTTTTAACGATAAACTGTTAAACAAAGTTGAACTGAGGTCTTACTCAACTAAAGTGCTCCAACGCCGAGTGACTGCGATGTATCTGTAAATTGAGCGAAAATTGATCGGCGCACCATTGCTTAATTTAATGCAGTTCCTTAGAAAGGTATGTGACTACAAGTTATGTATACTATCTTAATTATATCCATCATTTCCGCTACGAAACTCGAAACCGAAACTTTGCCCAACTGGCTCTGTGTCATTAAGAAGAAACATGCCAATCCCGTAGTGATAATTTTATAACACCGGTAATCATATATCACATGATTAAAAATATCAAGGGTGCAATAATTTTGTCCCTTGCTACTTAAAATGTAATCGAAAAGGAAGAATATGATTCGTTCGTATATTATTGTCTCAATCGCATATCTTTATTTAAAAAAAATACCACAGTAATATCAAATTCTAATTGTCACCGACATGTACGATAAAATACTTATTACTACAATTTTTATTTAAGCTTAATTTTTTAATATTTTGAGGTCTTTTCATTCCCTTATTTGAATATGTCTTATTTACTTGCATATAGAAAAACGTATCCTAAAAATAAAACTCTTGATCGATAGTATGTGTTTTAGAGTGATTTTTCCTGGGACATGACTATAGTACACACACACACACACACACATACACACACACACACACACACACACACATATCCGTAAGAAGAAAATTAAAATTGCATTATTGCGTTATCCGTCAAAGTTTCAAACAGCTCTCTCGATTAGCTCGACGATCAGAATTATCTTTAGCGATTGTTCACATTTGTTTGTTGCCGATGAAAACGTTCATAAATAAAACATTACGTAAAACAGCATCGGCATCTGCACGTCGATACTGTTCGTTCACGTATTTAAGTTCTAGAAACCGATACGACGTGTTAAGAGCTATGACCAGGTGTACTATACGCAATTTCGAAGAGGTAAGGATGGGTTAATGTGAAAAGCTATTCTTGAACGAAAAACTCTAGCATCGCGGAACTTTTATGGACGAGCGAGAAAAGGTAGAGAAAATGGGAAGGGAGGAACGCGAAGGAAGGAAGTGAAAAACTACTCGGTTCATCATTTTGGTAGATTTAATGAAACGATATACAGAATACATTTGCTTTCTTAATGCATCGCAACGCATTCTCGTGTGCCTTACCACTATATCACATATCAGTTTTTTTTTATTTGTAAAATATAATCGTCATAATTTCTTTGTTCTCGTATTTTGCCTTTGAACTGCCTCTTCGTCGTATATATCGAAAGTATACACATATAAATATATATATATATATATATATATATATATATATATATATATATATATAAAGGGAATAGCGTCTTTTCGAAATGTAGACAGAAACTTGAGAGAATTTGGTAATTGTAATTAAAAAAAATTGAAAATAAAAATTTACGATTTTTGAACATAAAAGTGGCTATAACTCGGAAACGGCTCATTTCCGGACCTATGTTTGTATGAACTTTTTTGCTTGTTTTTGGGTCTCGAATCACCTCCCGAAGTGGAGTAGGCGATTTTTCGGTCACCCTGTATTATACAAATATAAATACAGAATAACAAATCAAGAAAAGTATGAATCATTCTTCAGGTAACACCTCTGGTTATCGGCGTTATGACGCCTATTACATATACGAAAGGACGAAATAATTTCCAAAGCCTTTTTGTCCTCCTGGTCGATATTCCTAATAGGACGAATGTTCGAAAGACTCCCGTCATCTTCAAATTCTTCTTGACGCCGAGGAGTTATGTTTAATTTTTTCATCAATACCCGTATCAAGTATTGGAAATCATCCCCATCAGGAGGAAGGGGCTTAACATAGACTTTTCGCGATGGACGACCTCCTTCCGGTGATATGAAAACCGGCTCATACACATTCAACCAGAATTTTATCCCTTGAAGTGCTACTTCATCAATGTCGGATTTCATCGCTTCTATAGTAATCTGTAATAAAAATTCCACTAGTAATTTTTGACATGCGCTATATTTAATATTTTAGCAGGACAATTAAAGTAACAGTAAATGATACTTACAGGAAACAGTGCTGGAGACATATATGGTTCCATGTATAGAAAGAACTCGGCGCGAGACGCTACCGTGTCTCTTGATAGTGACATAATTTTCACAAGACACTGTAACGCAGCTACTCTGATTT